GTCTCAGTTTTTTTCTACTTGGAAATGGAGAAAATAATAGTATAATAACAGAAACAGACTGGTAAATATACTTCAGAGCATACTGTAAGAAAAAAATTAATGAATGTAAGGCACTGAGTATATATGGTGCCAGGCACATGGAAAATGCTCAGTACATCTTGGCTGCTATTCTTAGCCTTTCCGGTTTTCCTAATCGGGTATGGTTTTGGGTAGTCTGACCAAACTTGTCCTGCTTCCTCCTTGGTGTTAATGCTGATGGTAAACATAGCCAAATTTCTCTTCAAGTAATCTCCCATTAATCCCAATACAGCAAGTCCTCAAATAACATCATTATTTTGTTTAGCATCTTGTGATAACGTTGATAAGATGCCATAGGAACTTAACTTCTGTTTATATCAATTAGCCTTGGTAAAACTAGTTTCATTATACATCGTTTTGCTTAAATTTGCAGAACCAATGGATGACTTTATGTGAGGACTTATGGTACTCCAAACTGCTCATTCTGCTCAAGTTTCAGGAATCAAACTTCTAAGTAGACAGTAGCTATTAAAACAAAACAAAAACGAACACAAACCTGATGGTTTCCAATCACCATCCACAGACATTCAGCCAGAATCCACGGAGGATAGCATTTGTGAATTCTCTTAAGCATCAGTACTTTGCCTTATGGCAACATTCCCACCCTTCTTAAATTACGACTTGTATGTATGCTACTTATTAATCCCTAAAGGATTGAATTATATATAAGCATAGTTACAAGAATACTTCAAATATGCATGGCACTTTATGCTTTCCCAAATACCTTTTCACAGATTATTTAATTTCAACAGCACTCCAGGGAAGTAGGGATGAGTATTGTTATTGCCCTATATTATAAATAAGAAAAATGAGATGGCTCAAGGAGGTCGAATAACTTGCCAAAAGTCACATAGCCAGACCCACGAATACACAGATGATTTTTAATCTAGTGCTTTTGTCATAACAATAGGGTGCCTTCCTGACTACATAGGATACGACAGTATTTATTTACATCAGTATCTAACTCAAAATATTTACAGTAAAGAAGATGCTCTGTTAGCCTTTTGACAAAAATAACGGATTATTTGAAATCACATAATTTGAAGTTTTTCTGCTCTTCCATCCTTTTCCTTTTTAATTAATAAGGTCTTGTCGTGCTTTGATGTGTTGCTTTAAAACAATTATCTCTAACAGTCCAAAATTGATTACCTCTTAAGGCACAAACCAACATAGGCATCGCAATAGAGGGCATTAACAAGCATTACTCTTCCTTTCTACAGAAGTTCAAAAGGCCAGTGATTACTGAGTGCTCAAACTACAATAAAACCATGAAACAGGAACAGACACTAGAGATACCACCTCTTGATTGCTATCTTTAAAATTATCTTCCCTGTAGTGTAAACACAAGAGAATATGAGAGAAACGTCTCCTGAATGAGATGGTACACACATTGAACTAGTGCATCTCCATGTCTGAAAACTGGATGTTCCTGCCGACACACAAATATCACAATGACAAGCTCAACAAGCTCTTCTGGTCATTAACCTGCAAACTATCACAGTGGAGAACTCAAAGGCTGAGCTGCCATATCTTATAACCATCTACTAAATATGTATGGGGAATGTTTCATTCACTATATATTTCTGAGATAAATCTGAAATATCACTGAACATTGATGCTATTAAGTTCCTTATTCACTACCATCCAGTTTAGATCAGTAAAAAAGGTTTTGAAATTATTATAAACCTACAAATATATAGACCTGTGCCTATTACTTTTAAGACAAAAGTAGTGATCATTGGTTCCAAATAGGATTGATTACCTTAATTGTTCTTAAAACGTTACAGAACATTGGAAAGAATTAATAAACAAATAAGAGATTTTTCAAAGATAATCTCATGAGATGACCAAGCAAGGAATTGTACTAACATATTGTTCATCTGTATGATATATTTGTATTTATGAGTGAGGTTAGGCAAACTCTAAGCCTTGAATAATGACGTATGTATGTATGTATGTATGTATGTATGTATGTATGTATGTATATATATATGTATTTACTTATTTACATTGCAGTCACAAGTTAAACAGCTCTAAAATGACATAGTACCAAGGTAATACCTCCCAGTACTAAATGGCTATCTCAAAGGATCAAAAATAATATACAGAATAATGAGAATAACATAGAGGTGTGGAGAACTGCACTATGAATATATGGTAAGCATATGCTATTAAGGTTATACGAGGACTGTGCCTGAAAACAAGAAAATGTATCAAGAGCACTGAAAACTCTATTTGAAGATCACTATTATTTTAATAAATGTGGTTAAGACATCAAATTATTTCCTCGTGACATCATTAGCTGACACTCAATATCCAAATAAAGGGGGAAATGCTATAACCTAGGAGTTTTTAACTTGAAATTCATTATGGTCTGGGCTTCAAGGGCTCTGTGAGTCCTTTGTAATTCTATGTAAAAATTTGAGTTTATGAGTGTGTGTGCATTTTTCTGGAAGAGGCATCCACAGCTTAAATCAGAATTTTCATAGGGCCCTTAGGTCCCCAAAAGTTAGTCTACTGTTATAAAAGTAGGCCATTGTTTATCTATGTATAAGTACATAACTAGATCTTGGATAACTTAAGTAATATCTCAAAAGTCTAAAATTAATGAAATTATTTGACTTTTTTAAATCACTCAAAAATATTTCAGAAAAATAGAAACTAGATTTATTCTAAAGAAAATGTCAGCCATGGAATGGATACTGATGAAAAATAAGTATTTCAGGAACCTACTGCTGTGAAAATAGAATTTAAAATTATCTAAGAAAGAAAATTTAGGTTATTCTGAAAGATTTCTTTTTCCTTGGATTAAACAAAGGGTAAAAATGGTTACATCAGTATACCAGGACTTATTTATCTAAACAGGGTCATATCCTATTCTCCTCTGTTTCTTCAAATAAAACATAGAAACGCCAGGATGTAAAGATAAAATACTGAAAGAACTTAGAACTTAACAAAGGTGATAGTAGTATTTTAGAAATGAGTGGGCACATTTTTGGTTATTACAATGGTATGGGCTACTCTAGGGGCTAGGAATGCTGGATGTTAAGACTGAACTGCACATGTGAGGACAACAAAAATTGTCCCATATTCTACATGTCATTCACATATCCTGATGGACATTCAGATAAATGAAAAATCTATAATTAAGTGAGCCTAGAAACTAACTCCGTTGCACATATTTTTGCAAAGTACTTTCTACACACATTTATTTTCCAAGTCACTAATTACTGGGATCAATTGTGTAAATCAACATAAGATTAGTTTTTTATTTGGAAGTTTCCCAAGAGGAATTCACCATGTTGGAAAATCATGTCATCATTGGTGCTATGGACTGAATGTTTGTATGTTCCTCCCAAATTCATTTATTGAAACCTAACCCTCAATATGACCATAGGAGATGGGGGTTTTGGGAGGCGATCAGATTGTGAAAGTAGAGCTTTCGTGACTTGGATTAGAGCCGTTATAAAAGAGACTCCATGGAGATCCCTCGTCCACTCTACCAGGTGAGGAACACAGTGAGAAGGTGCCATTGCTGTACCAGAAAGTAGGTCCTCAACAGACACCAAATCTATTAGCACCTTAATCTTGGACTTTCAGCTTCCAGAACTGTGAAAAATTTCTGTTGTTTATAAACTACCTTGTCTACGGTATTCTATTATAGCAACATGAATTAATACCATTCTTGGACTTGAACTGACAATACAATCCACTTATATCAGTCTTGGAGTTTTTGCTGTTGGATTCAGGGTTATTCACATATAGTACATATCCATTAATACTTCATTATGTCTTACTACACAGCCATGCTAAGGCATTACCATTTGAAAACCATAAAAAATTTCTTTCTTTTATGTTCAGTGAAGACACTATATCAATTTAAAAAATTCTCTATATGGAAAAAGGCTGTTAGGGAAAAACCAGAAAAATACAAATAAAGTGTGGAGTTTAGTTAGGAGTACTGTACCAATTTTGGCTTCTTTGTTGTGACAAATGACCTATAGTAATGTAAGATATTTAACAGTATGGGAATCAGGTAAGAGGCACATGGGTAATTTTTGTACTATCTTTGCAACTTTTCCGTAAACCTAAAAATATTCTAATAAAAAGGTTATTTTTAAAAATTTAACTTTAGAGATGCATAGAGATTTAAACTTGGAAAACTGTCCCTCCATTTCTGTTAATATTAATTTTTTAAACTGTTAGGTTGAACTACTGAAGTAAATGTTTTCATATGTCAATAACAATTAAATATTAGCAAGTTCATTTGGTTTATCCTAGAATAGTTTGGGCCTAGTTAACTGGACTGTGTTACAAAGTTGAGAATAATGTACTTTTCATTTTCAGAAGTAGAGAAAAATCCATTGCAATTCATTGCACGCACACACATGTCCCAACCCTGGCAAATTTTCCCCATGGTTATACTGTATGTATTATCTATGATTTTAATTTGAGGCTAGTAAAGAAAGGTGTTATAAAATGTTCATTAGGAAAAAAGTAAAGATTCTGAGATAGTTAAAATCCATTCAACTAAACAAAGCATTAATAAGAGATAGATTACAGTACAGTTTATCTGTGAAGCTTACACCAAATTCCTATGAAAATGACAAGAATTCAAAGGAAAAAGCAGGGTGTTTGTAACCCTTCCT